TGTCTGACCCGACCTGACCTTATCAGGTCGGGTCAAGTCAATTACCCGACCCGACCCGACCTGTTCGGAGCTCTAATTCATATCAATTTTGATGAAGATTACTGTTCTGATTCGGAATCTTCTAGCTCTGGCTCTGAAACTGAATCAGGTGATGAGGATGTCTATAGTAATAATGCGCCTCTTCCTGTGTTTATGGGTACGATTGATACTACAAACGATTTTATTTCTGAACTTCTTAATCAGAATGGTGATCATCAGCTCGGAAGAATTTGCTGATCCATGCACAGCGTCCGTCTCTTTTCGAATGAATGGGTAAAAAGTAATTTAAAAAAATTTTCAATAAGCAGAGGTTGGACCGACCCCAAAATTTCTGATACTAATAATATATTTTGCCGATTGTGGTATAGATGTGGTGCTAGTTAGAGAGCTAGGATCAAAATATTTATCAAAATAATATGTATCACATGCTACGTCCCAAACTATGTAGTTATTTTTCGCATGTAATAATAAAAACATTTTCTTGGCAAATTTTGCTAATGGGCCATTATAAATTGAATTATGTAATTTATTTACTACATCAATAAAGATTTCTATACATTGTATCAAGCGTGGGATATATGAGATGTATGGTGAATAAAAAAAGTGAGACCTAAAGTCCCACTTGAATAAAATAAATCGCGTTCTATATGAAAGTTGTAATCGAATATGTAATAAATAAATGTGCAGTACCGTTAGATATCATGTGTAGTTTATTCTCGAACTTTCCCGCATATACTCAAAGCTTTACAACAAAAAAGACCTCCTTGTTGATCTTTGTATATAAGTAACGTCAAATTTTTTTATTATAATTTTAATGATCAGATTTTCGTGATGAGATCATTTCCCAAAAGCATATTCCTAAACCGATCCTGCAAATTATATAAAAAGGTGACGTTCCGATTCATGTACTCCCCTCATCTTTGATAGCATCATCTATTTCGTTTGTATGAAATGACTGGATATGCTTATTTTTTATTTTTTTTTTATAGCAAATTCGTTATACAAATATACAGTATTATGTATCAGTTATTCTGCAAAAAACTAATTTACAGGTACACTTGATAAAAATTAAATCATTCTGAATGACCAGATGTTTGAATATTGATAACGGGAACTTTTGTCTTCATAGGACTATAGTTTGAATCACGCTGATAATTGTCGTTCAGGTGGGAGTTACCCTTTCTATCAGTTTCGAGAACAAGCTCCTAAAATGAAATTTATAATGTAAATAAGAATGTCTAAAACAAACTAATATATTATTATAAATTAGATTCTTACTCTTAATTCATAACATCTTTCTATGGCAGATATGATTACAAGAAATTCCGCCGCCTCAGTAGGAAAAGTCATTTCGACTAGAGAGACAAGCTGGTATAAGCCATCATATTCTAAAGTGATCCTCCAAAACTCAATCCTGTTTCCTATTACATAAAAATATAATTAGCATATCGCTCATCAATATAGGATTAGCTTTGATTACTCACCATTAATTAGTACACCATACGTTTCATCATGAATCCCTATGTCTAATGCACTCTTCATGAGAGTAGCCAATTTTGCAAGTGCATGATTTGCAATGGACTTGTGATTTTCTACTTTCGGTGGCTTAATCTCTCCAAATAGAATTTCACTCTCATTTTCATCTTTACAAATTAAGCGAAAATCGGGCTTTAACCCATGGGTATCAGAATCCCCTGAACATTGATTTTTAGATGAACTACTCTCTCCGTTTGCCCTGCATAAATACAATTTTACAAATGTCTTTGCAAAAACACTAATCGTAAGGCAATTCAATACATTAGAACATACCATACAAGTTGCATAGTTTCGACACGGAAAATCTCTTCCAAGATTACGTGACAAGTTCTATGTGCGTAGGTGTCTTCATCTGATTGATTCTTTTTTTTGCCATATGGTAAATTGTAAAAGCTACGCATAACATTATAATCAATACATTATAAATACATAGCGATTGATTATCTAATATCAGTCTACTTACAAATTACGTGTTATAATCTGCACTGAATCGAATATCCTCTTATCGTCTTGATCATCCAATAAAGACACTTTGCTCCAGTTCAATCGCCACAGCTCTTCAAATTCGGCCAATTCACCTCTCATTATATGCTTACAATAAAATACAATCAGTGTAGTGAATTGATTTATATACTGTATATGTATATACTTACTGTTGAATATGAACATACAGTGGATTGAACAAGAGCTGGCATCTTGAATTTATAGGTAATGCGTGGAAACGTCATCCGCCACTCGTTATCGGTACATGAGACATAAGCTGGTTTTTGGTTCTTTCTTAATATCATTATGCTTGATAAGGCGCTATTATAAGTAAAAATTCCATGAACATTCTATTAAAAATACACATATTTCATTGGAAAGTGCCTACATTATGGATTCACAATCGGTTACATAGCTTAAAATCGGATTGACTTTTAGTTTCTCAATGATAAACTTCTGAAATTGCCGAAAATCTTCGGAAAAATTGTGCCCTTCATTTATCCACTATTCAAATGCAGATGATTCAGCAAAAATATAATATACAAGTGATAATTTCAGTAAACATTTAACATACATCTTTCAAAGAGTTTTCTTTTATTTCCATTTTTGGTATTACATGGTCCCATGTAAGTATTTGTTTAGAGCTCACTTCAATACCGAATGAGGAAATTGCGAAGTCATTACTGGGTTCTCTTGCAGAAGTAGCATAATTTTCTTTGACCTAAATTAAAATATATAAGCGATATGTGCAAATATTTAAAGATGGTGATGAAACTAAACAAATGATGTTCTTCTTACCATTTCTTCATTAAGCTCATTCTCATAATTGTCATTACTATCTCTTTTACGCTTTCCAGTAATTGCATTTGTTATATCGTCCAATGCTTTTGACTTAGATGCTTGATCCCGCACGGTCTAAAAGTTAGTTGTTGCATTAACACTTAATGATGATCTGTATGAAGAACAGAAGGATAGTGATAAAATCTCACCTGTTTTTCACAAATATCAATATTATTTTCTCTCATTAATTCCCGTCGATCAATGCGATCAATAATCTTCTCGGCTAGTTCAATGAAAAAAATTTTTTTCGACTATAACACTATTGATTAGTCAACAGCTTTTGAAAGGTGAGATTTATTAGCAAAGGTTACCTTGACAGCTGTCTTTAGCTTTTTTGCATATTCCACAATGTATTTAGGATAACTGCCAGCCTCATTTTTCTCAACTATAGCCAATGATCTATGAAAGGACCTATATAAATCTGGCGCTGTCGAAAGTGGGCTGGTCCCTAATTTGGAATTCATATAAGCATTGAGACGATGCCATTCGGATACCGGATTAGTAGAAAAATAAGTATCGATTTCTATATGTGCGGGGACTTTATAATCCATGATTAACTTTGAAGGAATAAGAGTAAAAAGATAAATCAGATCTCATAACCCAGAATGATATAATAAAATGCATCTCAAATTTTATTGGACAATTTACGCGTCTCGGCTTATCAAATCACGTGTAGGTGCAATGGAATCGATTATATCAAAAACCGCGATCAACAGAATCTATAGAAATTCTTTCGTCGTAAAAAGGGCCTCGCAGAAATGCTCGCCCGTTGCCTTTCTACCAGGGCTTCGCAGAAATGCTCGCCTTTTACACTATCCCTATGCTTTGGACCTAGGAAACTACCTCCAAAGTTTATGGACGCGTCCGGGAGGTGTATTGGTAGAAAGAGAAGATGAGGGTCTCGCAGAAGTGCTCACCCTTTACATCATCCCTACGCTTTGGACCTAGGAAACTATCTCCAAAGCTTATGGACTCGTGCTTCGACTCTGGGAGTGTATCATCTTCGTGCAGTGATAAATCGAACAAAAAAAAAGAGAGCTATGTATAATTTATATTATAGTCTTTTTATGCAATGGATTTAGATCTTTTAACGCTAAAGTATATTCTCATTATAAATATACAAGATGCCTGATTAGCCTTACCATAATGCTCAAAATAAAAATAATTTTCGTTATTGATCTCTAAGGATGACATGGGTCTGTAATTACTATTATTTCAGGGTCTAATGGCAGAAGAAAATATGTTCACTTAAAAGAAGCTGGCATATTGCAGTTTGACGGAAGCGCTGGTAAAGAAGTTGTTGGAGAAAGTTTCAGATGAAAAGATTACACTAAACAAGGTATGATTTTTTTTTTCAGTTGTGGCTATGCGTTTGCAATTCTTTATAATTCAGGACTTCGAGGACATTAGCATCATGGGAGGCGGATAACATAGTTTTGTTAAGACGATTTATTTGTATTGCTTGCTCTCATGTACTGATAACAGTTTTGTTCTATCCAGAATATCGATGTTGGGGCAAATGAAATCGGATTAGAGTTAATGTTGGGATATTGTATTAGTGTAGATAGCTTAGATGATCAAAACACTGGTGTGGTCTGTAGGCATTAGTATAGAAACGCCATTTCACTTTGTAGAACAAGTTTATGTATCATTAAATTATGTAATTTATTTTCTGTATCAATAAAGAGTTAGGTGACAAATTTAACTGTATACTAGTAATTATTTATTAAATTAATAATAAGAAATATATTTTTTACTTTTTAAAACTTCAATTTTTTAATTTTATTTATTATTTTTTGACGTAAATCATTATTGATTTAGAAGACAGAATGTAGATCATTACCAGTATCAGTACTGAACTCATTAGGATCATAGATTCCATTCTTGTGATCATTCTTAAGATCAAAGATCCTATTCTCGTGATTATTTTCAGGATTAAAGATCCTATTCTCATTGCTATTCCTAGGATAATAGATCTTATTCTTAGAGGTATCGCAGAAGAAGATTGTATTTTTTATGAAGGAGAAGTTATTTATTGAGAATAGCGATATCTGCTTAAATTCTTTTTTGAAAAATTGTAGTTTCATCAAAAGATTTCATTTCTTTAATATTTTTATATAAATAAATATAAAATTATTATATTTTTTAATGTATTTTAATTTAAGAAATTTAGATCAAATTAATATAATTTCAGCAATTAAGTAAAATAATTTTATTATTAATAAAAACTAGTTTCAAAATTTCAGTTTCATCAATTTCATCATATTAAGAAAAGTAATTTCATCAAGTATCATTAATTGAAAAGAAGAAATTACTTGCGAAGATGATAATTATTTTTTTTTTTTTTAATTTTTGATTTTAATTTTAATTTTTAATTTTCATTAATTTTATTTTTAATTTTAATTTTTATTAAATTTTTTTATTATATTTTGATTTTTTTTTTATTTTTTTTTAGTAATAATGTTACCTAAATAGTTACACAAATTAATAATAATTTATCTTTTTAATTTATCATATAATCATAATTAAAAATTCTAATCTAATTAAGTATCAATTATCTTAATTATCTTCAAATATATATAATAATGATAATTCAATAATGCACAGAAGTAATGGTAAATTATTTATGCAGCAGAAATCATAAGATATATTATTTACATTCATATTTTATATATACTTTTTACATATTTACTTTTTTTAAAAAATAAAAAATATTTCTATAATTTTTAGTATTTTTTCTATTAATATATTAGTTACAGTCAACCCTTGATATAACGAATTTTATGTCCTGAACTTCAACTTCGCTATAGAGCTATAGTGAATTTTTTAAAGAATTTGATTGGCTAGTTCGTTATAACGAGGGTAAATTTAATATAGTTGTCCAAAAAATTCGTTATATAAAAATTCGCTATAGAGAGGTATGACTGTATTACTATTGACATATCACATTCAGAATTTTATTTTTTATCTTCAATTTGATCTAGTAAATTCTTAATTTTATTTCTAATTTGTAAAAGATTACTTATCATTTTATTTACATAATTTTTTACTATTAAAGAATTTTTTAAAAATTATTTATATATCACTATTTGAAATGAAAATCTTAATAGAATATTTATTTAATAATTTCAAATAAATGATAAAAAAATTTTTGTAATTATTAATTCCAAAAATTATTATATTATTTCTTATTATTTGAATTTTTATAAAAGAAATTTGATAAAGATCATTCATTATCGATTTTCTTTTATTATTTCTTAAATCCTTATTTTTTATTAATTCTTTTTTTTTTACATCAAATCTATTTTTACATTCACAATTTATTTTTTTAATCATAATTTTCCTTATCAGATAGAGGAAATAATCATGAAATTTTACTAAGAACAAACTCTATACTATCAGATTTATTTATAAGGATTAAATAATCTAAAATATTTCCCAAATAAACAAAATAAATAGATCACATATTCTTCTTAGTGATTTTGATGATTATTATTATATATTATTTTATAATAAATTAAATATTTTAAATATTAGATCAAGAAATCTACAAACTGATTGAGCTATATAACCATTTTCACTATAATTAGTTTTATCTAATAATGGTCTTAAGCACCAACAATTTCTTCTATAAATTAAATAAAATATATTAATATTTATAATTAAAATAATATAATTTTTATAAAATTAATCATAATCCTTCTAATAAATTAAATATTGATTTTAAGCATCTACGATTTTTAAGATCTATTACATTTTTGGAAAATATAATTAAATTACTAAAATCTATACCAAAATGAGTATTTAATGTATTTAATAAATAATATATTTGAATAAATTCATTTATTATATCATTTGCTTCATTTGTAAAAGTTTGATTTTTCTAAATCAACTTTTTATAAATCTTATAACATTTTTTAAGAAAACTTTTTAAAACTAAAATCTATTTCTTAACAAACATCTAGAATTTTATATGCTATTAGAGTATTATATTTAATTTTAGTAAGATCAAACTGAAATATAAATGATATTATTTTATTTAATATTTCTCTTGTTTTCTTTAGAATAATTTTTAATTATATTATTCTAATAAAAATATAATATATTAGTATTTTAAAAATAATTATATATAAAATTTATAATTTTTTTATACAATTCTGAATTATATTATTCATATTTGATTAAAAATATTAACATTTTCTTTTTGTTTAAATAAATTACGTTAAATTAAAAAAATTTTAATTAAACTAAGAATTATATAATATTATTAAGATATTTTGATTATTTATCTTTTTTTTCATAACTATAAGTTTTTGATAATGTTCCTTATGCTGATCCTATATAAATAAAAAATTATATAATAAAAAAGTATAAGTTACTAAATATTATAATAAATATAATTTAAAATTTTTTTTTAAAAAAAATATAATTACTAAAGTATTTTGAATAGTATGCTGACAGATGATAATGAGATATACAAAAGCATTACTTATGTCAAACCTAGTATTTATAAATTGCAAAATAACTAAATATCTAACGATATCACTTGTTACTTATAAGTATATTTCATTATATTATGAGTTAGTATGCTGACAGATAATAATAAGAATACAAAGGCATTACCTATATCAACTTAGTATTTATAAATAGTAAATAGCCAAATACCCAATAATATAACTCATATACTTATACATAATATTTCTAAAAAAATAGTTATAAAAACATATGTATAAGAAATAATATAGCCTATAATATTATTATCCCTTAGATTGTAGGGTTTCGCAGGCAAATTTGCCTGCTTATTTACTATAAATTCTCTTTTGATTTACTTTTATA